TGTCAGAGAAATGTTCTAATGGAGAGGGTAGCACCTAGAAGTTCCATGAGAAAATGAAAATGGTTTATATAGGAACATGCCAAGGGGAATGTAAGGAGGTATTCATTCATACCAATTGTAAGGGAATGAAAGGAGGTATTCATTCATATCATCAGGTGTCCTTTGGGACCACCGGAGGATGTTATGGTCTCTCGGGCAAGGCTCTATGATCAGGTCTCCTTTGAGCAACAAAGAGCTGAAAGGTTGATGGATGGCAGATCCTAGGTGAATGGACAGCATCTGCTGTGAAAGGCCTACACACTGATCGAAGAAGGGAACAACAAATCAGCTCAGGGGTCTGAACTGCATGGGGTTTTCTCTCTGTTTGGGTTCTTATCAACTCAGAGCAGTGACTAATGTCTGACAATATGACGGACAGGGGCCGTGGGAAACTGAACAACAGAAGGGATGTGCATATAGGGCAGAGCCCTATGGAAGTCCCTACGGGAATTTAGAGGGAAGTTAAAGTAGGACATGTCAGTCAATGCCCATCAGAAGAACCACTTCCAGGACTGGCAGGCTAGTGGAACCAGCAAGTGGGCATCCTGGTAGGCTTCTTTGCTGTGGCCATCTTGGTGCGGGAAATAGGTGGAAATGGGGAGCTGCAGCAATGCAGCAATGGGAAAATGGTCGACGTGACTCTTACATCCTGTGAAGCACACATTGCCAAGGACTGTTCAGCCTGGCAGCAAGAGAGACAAAGACTGCAGGTGGTCATGAGGAAGATTCTCCGAGGGCAAGGCCCTGCACATAGCTGGCATGTCGAGTTAGGTAGTACTCCTGGGAGGCTACAAGTGGGTCCTCACAAAAGGAGACACCATCTCCGGGCCAGGCTTTACATATCCAGAAGTACATGCAAACGTTCAAGCTACATAGCAGGACTGGAACAGAAGATACTGCGCCATTTGGGCTGGCAAATTACATTTCTGCAGACCAAGCACACAGTTTCGTCCTTGGAGTAGTAGGGTTGATAGAGAATTGGAATGGGCAGTTGAAGCATTGGTTGTCTCAAACATGAGTTGAGAAAGGTATGAAGAGCTGGCTTACACACAGTCGTGAGCATGTACTCACACTCAACATGAGGGGGCCAAGGGAGATGCCCCACAGGATAGATTCTTTCCTTTCGCTGCAGGATGTGGGGAGGAAGGGCTGGGGGAGGATGCTGGGGGAACTATATGATTCTTACTCACATCACCTCCACTTTCTTTTTCCTACCTGATACAGTAGTCCTGACACTAGTGCTACAACTGCGGAAATGGGAAGCAGGAATAATTCCTAAGCGAGAACCTCTAACTATAGCTTTGAACCTTCATGCCAGAAGTCGTAAGGGTCTGATGGAGTGGAATGTGCCTTCACGCCATCTGGCAAAATTGGAGTGACAGCAAATGCAGCTGTATTGCCTAGTGGCCGAGACAGCCCACGAGGTCTGGACCTATGCAACCCAACCCTACCTGATATGAATGGGAGTGGACCGAAGGGAAGGCACTTGTTAGACTAGCTGCCTTCGCTGCAGGCGATGAAGATCAGCACAGTGGCTGAATCTGACAGCCCTTTGAAAGGTGAAAAAGTTTGCATAAAAGTCAATGACAAGGAGGAAAAGGAAGAACGGTAGTCTAGGCTAAAGGAATGAATAAGCGGGTTATGCAACAAGAGAAATCCCATATTACCTTGGTGTCTCGAGAGACTCAGAGCAAGAGATGGTATTGTCTCTTAGCTCCATCATACCAGATGCCGGAAAATGTGAAGCCACATGTTACTAAGACCACTCCTGCTTTCAGGACCTGACCAGGTTGACGGGAAGCCAGGGAACCTGAGTGGCCTCGCTCTAGGAGATGGGGTCATATGATATGATGATGACCCTGAACCAATGGTTAATGACTGAGTGAAACTCTAGCAATGTGCCAGCATGTCTTGATTCTTATCTTTCCGGTTCCACGTACCACCATACTGTGATAAGCTGTAACACTGGCCTTGTTAATATTCAATTATAAATGTAATGAAGAACTGAATTTAGCTAAGCACCAGCTATATTTAGCCATGAGTTACATTAAGTGAGGAGCCCATTAGACTGAGGTGGCTCTAAAGCAAACCAAATCTAAGCTTGTAAATGCCTCGAGGATACAAAAATGAAACCTAAGGACCACCCATCAGAAACAGCCACACGGGTTTGAAGCTATAGCCAATCAGTAATCTCCTTACCTTGCTCCAGCCCTTTTTCTAAAAAGTCCAGGGGTACTCCTAAGCAATTCAGATTTGTTGCTTTTCGATTCAAATAGATTTTTTCTCAAATAAATTCTTAAATTTCTAATATGCCTCTGTTTAGCTCTTAACAATACTGAATGTTTCTAAACAAGTACTATGCTAAATAAGGTATAAATATCAGTTGATCAAGGAGGAATCAAATTAGTACAAATACATGAATGTGTATCTAGTGCCCCCTACGGGATGGATTATCTTTCCCTTTAAATGTATTCCTACCCCACACTGGCTCCTCCAAATTTCAGCATATTTCTGATACGATTGCTGTATGTGTTATATAAAGTCTCTACTAAATGTAGATGCTCAACGATCCTTTGCTGTAAGAGAGCCTTGGCAAAGGACTAGGGCGTGGCCTGTGAAAGTAGAGGATTAAGCTGGGCCAAGGAAAGGTTTGGCCCTTTAGCCAAGGCTGCTGGAAGGTCAACTTGGTTTAATCTTCCTGATAAGAATGTCCTTGTTTACTTGGGGGGCGTCTAGGATCAGACTACAGAATGGATGCTAACAAGGTGATTATGATGCTACTTTGGGCTACCTGCTATCAGCTGGACCTCTGGAGGGGCTGGGGAGTAAGGTCAGCCAAGAGAGTGGTGGGCCAGGTCTATGTGACCAATCCCAATAAAAATACCAGACACTAGACAGGATAAGCTTCTCCGGTTGGCAACGCTCCATGTGTATTGTCACATATCTCTGCTGGGGGAAATACATGCTGTCTGCAGGACTCCCCCGGGAGAGGAGAACTCAAGCTCCATGCCTGGTCTTTCCTGGACCGAGGGCTAAGAGACTTTTCCCATTGCTGACTTGAATCTGTCTCCATTTTCGATAAGACACTATAATTTTGAGTATAATGGCTCTGCTGAGTTCTGAGTCCTTCTAGTGAATTTCTGAACCTGATGGTGGTCGTGGGGACCTGCTGAAGTTGTAAAGACCAAACGATATTTATCTCACATATGTACAGTGGGTTTAGCATCTAAAATCAATAAATATAATACACTATATCAGATGCAGGAAAAGATATGGGGGTGGGTAACAAATTGAGGGTTGCGAAGGCTTCCTTAGCCTGAATAGGATCACTCAGAGAGGGAGAGGGAGGAGGAAGGAGCAGTGATGGAATCCTCAGGGAACACCAACGTGTGAGGGGCACAGAGCAGGTAAAGGGCTTCTCTGAGGAGACTTTTGAACAAAGACCTGAGGATGAGAAAGAGTCAGCTGTGCAATGACCAGCGAGACAGACAGCACTGATGACCACTGGACAAGTGTGTGCAGAGCCTGAAGCATAAGGGCGCCTGGCCCAGTGGAGACACAACAAGGAGTCAGTGTAGCAGAGCAGAGAGAGGTAGCAGGGGCTTGTAGATGAGAGCAGAGGCAGGCAGGGCAGATCATGCCAGAACCAGCATGGCTTGGGCTCCTCATCGGACTCACCATGGGGTTTTATGAGAGGCAGTAGCTCCGTGCAGACATCTCGGGTACCAAAAAAGTTTGTTTTCCTTGTCACTTCTGCTTGAACATGAAACGGTGTGGGGTCAGGAACTTTCAGGGAAGAAGAAAGGTAGAGTTAATACATGGCAGCCATGTGGTAAAATTCCATGGATTCATGTTTTTAAAAGCGTGCAAAAGAAATTGGGTGAATTTTGTGTAAAATGGGCAGCAGGTTAACGTAATTTACCACTGGCAATTTCCAAGTTTGGCAATGTTCTAAGAGGGTCCACACATGGAATCTCTGTGTACAAGTTTGTGCAATTTTCTTATTTACAAAAATGCCTTAAAAATTCACCCAACCGCCCTAAAATCCAATCAGAGCAAATCTGCGGGACAACCTAGAAAAGATCCCCAGGCGTCCCAGCCAAGGAAATGGAAAGGTCCCTCTGGCTGGAAAGCAGTCCAGTTCCAGGTGCACTCTGCTGTAGCCGCACCCCTGTCCTCTCCCCTCCTCCATCCCCAGGCAGCCATCCCAGACCCCAAAGGCAGGGGAGCCCCACCGCAGGGATGCTCCGACAGATCCGGTCACCCTGGCAGAAGGCTTCCCCTGCGAGCACGGGCTCCTTGCTATTGAAGGAGATGCCCGCGTTGTTGACCAGCACGTCGAGGCCCCGTACTCCTCTTTCAGGAAGTCGGGAGGGCGCGGATGCTCTGCAGGTCGTCGATGTCCAGCTGGTGGAAGCGCGGGCTCAGGCCCTGGGCCTGCAGCTGCTGCACGGCCGCCTGGCCCCTCGCCGTGTCCCGCGCCGTGAGCACCACGTCCCCCGAGAACTGCCGGCAAAGGTCGAACGCGATGGCGAAGCCGATGCCCTTGTTGGCCCCAGGTCACCAGCGCCACGCAGCTGTGGGACAACGCGGCTGCGTGGAGGCCTGCGGGGCGCTGGCGGGAGAGTGGTTGGGACTGCCAAGTACAAATGGCCATGGGCTTTGCAGCCTTTTCTCACACTAGAAAAGCTCATCAGGATGCATCTTGTTATCCCCATTTAATGGGAGGAAGTGCATACCCAGAAAGTCATAACTAGTTCAGTGGTGGGAAATGAATTTTCTTCCTACTATTTCCTTGTACCAACAGAGGACTAGCCGACTATAGGGTCGAGTTTCACTTCTGAGCTGCCTCTTAAGGTAGTCACTTCCCACAAGTGGCCATTAGATGTAAATTTAATGAAAATAATACAATTTGAAATTCAGTTCTTAGCTGCACTAGCCACATTTCCAGTGCTCAACAGTCACACGTGCTGGTGGGCACTGTATTGTACAGACACCTCCACGATGTTCCCTTCACAGCACAAAGTTCTGGTGAACAGGGGTGCTTTAGATAGATGCCAATTATGTTGCCATTGCAAGGTAGGTTTCCAATCAGTTGCAACACACAAAACTAATAATCAGGGAAAGAGCTTTGCCTTTTTATTCTCTTAAATATTTTTTGAGGTAATTGCAGATTCACATGCAGTAGTAAGAGGTAAGATAGAGATTCCTTGCACTTGACCCAATTTTCCTCAGTGGTAACATTTTGCAAAACTCCAGTACAATATCACACTCAGAATACTGACATCAAAACAATCCACCAATCATGTCCAGATTTCCTCATTTCACTTGTACCTATTTGTATGTGTGTATTCGGATCCATACAATTTTATCACAAGTGTAGGTTTGTGTATCCACCACTACAGTCAAGATATACAACATTTCCATCAGCACAAGGATCCCTCCTGTTGGTCCTTTATAACCAAACATACCTCTCTCTTGCCCCCACCCTCCCCTCCCTCAGCCCTGTCACAACAGTAATCTGTTCTCCATTTGTAAAATTGTACTGTTTCAAAAATGCTCCCTAGATGGAGTCATCAGTTATAACCTTTTGGGATTTTTTTTTTCACTCGGGATGGTGAAGAGCTTTGTTTTGGATTTTCTCCCTTATCCGTGTATATCCTGGTTCTGTCATTTTCTGGCCTCTCTCCACACCCCTAGCCTCATTCACTTTCTTCTATAGTGGGCATGAGCCAGTGTTGGAAGGAAGTGGGATGGACTAAATCCACTAAGAGGGTCAGTCAGCGATAGCACATGGCATGCAGGGAAGTCTGGTCATGGTGAGGGGCCTGAAATTTCAAAAGACCAATTCTCGGAGGGCGATGAATCATGATTTTCAGCCTGATTTCTTTATCCTTGTAGTACTGGTACCAACACAAGAAGTGACAAGTCAGTGGGGCAGGATGCTCCAGAAAATACAATCCATGAACATCATACAGTCTGAGAATGTAGTGTATGATAAAAGCGGCATTAACAATTAACAGGGGAAGCAAAGAATTATTCCAGAAAATGGTAGTGGGGGAAAAGGAGCAATGATTGCAAAGGGAAAAAGAGATCCTCACCCTACACGGTACACCCATTAATTTCTAACGAGAGAGAAAAAGTATTTTCCCACTTTTTAAATTTATGGGCTTATAAGTGAAACCATAAAACAAGTATAAGAAAAGATAAGTAAAATTCACATTTTTTCAGTATGGGAAAAGGGCTTTGTCAGCATAAGAACAGGGGAAGAATAATAAAGGAAAGGAATGAGAGATTGGACTATGGGAAATTCTTAGAAAGTTTGTTTTGGGGGAAGCGTGCTAATTTAAAGCCAGTGAATTAAGATCTTGAATCAAGGTTTTGTATATTTTTTCTCTGTCAAATTTGGGTCTTGATCCTGGTGGTGTGTTTTTGAGCCTCCCACCCTTCCTCGCACACAGCACCTTGTCTGGGTTTGATACCAGCCCATACACAAGGTTGACATAAAGGAA